AGGGGGAGAAAACTCAGTGGCTTCCCTGCGAGGAGGCAACGTGGGGGTGTCTGGGGTGTCACACCGCAATGCTCAGCACACGGAGCCCAGCAGTGGGGTGCTGCAGAGGTGCCTGTTCGGACGCCTCGTTTCCAGGAGAAATGGGGTCCTCCTCCTTGACCCAGCCACTGAGATCGCCACGGCCGTACGCCCAGCCCGTCCCCGTGCTCTCCCGTGGGCACCTCGCAGCACTAAGCAGCCTCTAAGCCCCTAACAGGTTTTGTAGATCTTGTTAGTTGATCTGCATTTTTGCAGAGCTCTCCGGACGCAGCCCATCGGCGCATAAGTCACCTTGACTTGCCGCAAGGCGTTGACTCCCAAGTCACTTTCAGTCTCCATTTCTCAGTCGGAGGTGCACAAAAGAAATAAGTGCCCTCTTATCTTTATTAGAAAAAAAAAAAAAAGCTGCCTGGAGAAACGTAGCTGTGCTCTGGTTGGTGCAAGCCAGTAACCGAGGTGCACGTAAACCTGTTCTGCCCTTGTTGGTGTTGATTTAACTCACCAGTACAAATTAGAATAGCCTTGAGCAGTTGGAAGTTTAACTGCATCGGTTAGGAGGAAAAAAGTCACTGCCTTGGAATGAAAGTGGAGATCTCTCCCTCATGCTGCCCTGAGCCCAGAGAGGAGCTCTGTGCCACGTGCACAACCAGGCCCCTCGGTTCCAGGACCCCAGACTGGGCAGTGATGGAGCACGTGGCCATGGGTTGTCACCTCCACACAATGGCGGGACACATGGCTGTGGGTTGTCACCTCTGTTCCAGTGGACGATGGTGGGGCATGTGGCCATGGGTTGTCATTAATGGACATCCGTGCAGCTGGGACATGGGAGCCACCTGCCCGATGGCTAGCATTGCAGGAGGTACCTGAGTGCTTTCCATCTGGGTCCAAGTCCTTGGCTGGTCCCAGGGAGCAGGGTCAGCCCCTGCCTGCCTCACTGAGCCACAGGACAAGAGGAGGACCAGGGGCTGTGGCTGAGGGCTCAGACCTTGCAGGCTTACATCGAGCAGAGGTCTTTGGGCAGGGGAGAGGCAGCTCAGCCTTCAGCAGGAGGGAGGGAGAGGCTGGCTGCATTTCAGTCCTGCGGGGAGAATGCTCTGAGATCACACAGGCCAGCTGGATCTTGAATCCGAGATGTTTATTTGGAAGAAGGAGTGCGGGTTTCTCAATTGTACAGGGGCTGCAGATGGGGTAGGCTGGCTGCTGGGCAATGGCAGTAGGTTTACATGGGGTGGTTGCATTGGAAGGCAAAGGCATCGCACCAGGACAGCCTGGGACAGCGCTGGGCTGCAGCACACAGCAGCCTGGAGGGTGTTGGGATCCACTGGGGGCGAGTGGGATGGCAGCAGATGGAGGCAGGACTGGGGGTGCTGCCAAAGCCTGCTAGTTTCTTCATGGCGATTATGGAAGGAACAACTCGTGGATGATACAGCACAGAAGCGTGATAGAGGGCTGGTGTGAAGGGCAGGGCTTTGTGATATGACCAAGTTACAACCTCCTGTTGGAGCTGCCTCTATGAAATGGGAAACTGAAGAGGGAAAAAAGAAGGTTAGGGCCCCCACAACTTCCATCTGAACTGATAGAAACTTTCATCCCGGAGGATGCTTGCTGCATGCTTGGAGGAAGCTGGGGTCTAAAGGAGTGGAAGCAGGAGCTGGGAGCTGCGCTGCATGGCCAGGAGCTGGACTGTCCCCACCCTCTGACACCAGGGAAGTGTCACCTGGCTCCCTGCTGGTGTGGCTGGACAGAAGGCAGAGCCCCAAATAATCCCTGCAGCAGGAGGAAGCAGGGGCTGGGGAGGCAAATGGATGGCCTCAAGGTCCTTCTGAAGGTCGCTACTGGACTGAGAATAGGTCCCCATTTCCCAGCGTCCAGTATCTTGCTGCCAGCCTCTGCTGTGCTAGGCCTCCTGGTTTCCCCCTGCTCACAAGCTTTTCCTTGCAGCACCTATAAACAGGGGGAAGAGCATTCTGTAGGACAGGCTCAGCCCCAGGGCCAGGGACACCAGCATGTCCCCACACCAGTGGGTTGTGGCTGGGGAGAGCACCTGGCTGCAGCCCCTGCAGGAGTGGGCAGTGGGGATGGGGCATGGAGTGCTGGGGTGATTACAGGAGATAGGAACTGGGGTTCTGTCCTCTGTTTTCTCCTCCCGAAGTGCTAAGGGCCTTGCAAGGAGGTGGCATGGGATTGCTTGGTGTGAGCAAAGGGCTCTCTGGTGCTCCCAGCTCTGGATATCCCAGGCAGCTCTTCTGCCCTACCAGAGATCAAGCAGCCCCAGTTCTACACAGGGAGCAGCACGAGAAAAGCAAAACCCCACACTCAGGGCAGAGACCTGGTGCTCCATCCTGAGCCCCCTCACCCCACTTACTGTAAGTGTATGCAAGATGAAACCCCAGCAGCAAACATTTCCTTCCTGTCTCTGTAAGGCAATCAGCTCCTGAGAGTGCTGTGGGGCTTTGCAAGAGCTGTGTGTGCCCAGCAATCAGCGTGAGACTCCCGGGGTCTGTGAGGTTCCCAGATCTGGGGGGGGGCTCCCTCTGCTTGGCTGGATTTGAAGGATCTCCTTTTTTTGGGAGATGTGTGGGCTCTGCCCATGATGCTTCAGCGCCAGGGGACATCCTCAGGATGGACCAGAATAGCTCTGCATGTGGGTTTTTCTTAGAAAATCAGTCAGTGGGTGTGAGGCCGGGTGACTGTGTCTGCGCGTCCCTCCCTGCCGCCGGCTCTTTGCCCATTAGCATTCAGCAGTGCGACCTCAGGCCCAGCTCCAGCCCCGCGCAGCTCCGTGCCGGGATGCTCCTCAATGGGCGCCCTTGATGCAGGTCCTGCGCTCTGCTGCAGGTGGCTGGAGCAATTCCTGAGGAAAGCGTTTGTCCTCCTCCGCTCCAGTCCCACCTTCCTCCTCCTCCTCCTCCTCACCCGTCCTGCCCCACTCCCACCGTCCCGTCCTTCCGGTGGCGGCGCACAATGTCCCCATTCAGGCGGTGGCTGCGCTTTGGTGGTGGGGGGACAGCCCAGGGCCACGGGAGGGGGATGCTGGGAGGGATGTGCCTGGCCCCAGGCAGCTGCAGGGTTTCTGCTCCCTCCCACACCCTAACCTCCGCAGGCTGGGGCTTTAGAAGTATTCCTTACTTATTTCCTGGCTGTGGCCTGGAGCCACGCGGTGACCCTACATCATCGGAACTGTCACCATGGCACAAGCTCTGCCCCGGCCTTAATTTCTTGCTGCACCTTTGTTGATTCTGCTCTTGGGTCTCAGCTGTTTCTGCTGTTTTTTTGTTTTTTTTTTTCCATGAGAAAGGGGCGAGATCCCATATAATTCTGTCAGAACAAGCTGGCATCCAGCGGCCAGCACTGCCTCACTTGGAACCTATTGGACTGGGGTAGAACAGCCCGACCACAAATTAATACATTAATTAATTTGTCACATTACTTCACATCTGTTGACACTGAAATACAATATTCCTCCATTCTGGGGAATTCCATTTATAACTGTGGTTGGAGATAACAGATTTGTGATTGAGGAAGGCCAATCCTCATGGGTCTGAAAGGCTCCTCCAAACCCCACAGCCGGAGGGCCCCTGGCACCTTCCGTGCCTCAGAACGTGAGTTGGAGCTGCTTGGAGCCTGGGAAGGGCTCGTGCGGGGAGAATGTGCACAGAGAGAGCTGCAGCCATCCCAGCACCAAGGTCATGCATGAAATATGAGAAATTACCCTGAGAAATTCTGATCCTGGAGGAGGAGTTCATGACTTCAGAAATACCAGATTTGGGAGGGGATGGAAGGGAAAGGGATATATTTTCCTTTTCAAAATATTGAAGGAATTCGGCCTGTGCTGCAGAGACAATGAGATTTCACCCCTCAGTGCCAAAAGGGCAATTTGTACCCGCGTGTCCTGGTTGAGTTTCAGTGGCTGTGGGTGAGAAGCTCCCAATCCCAGGCACAGGTGGGATGGAGCTGACAGTGCGCGCCAAGTGCAGCTCGGTCCATCAGTCCCTGCAGCATCATCACATCCTGGGGCTGGCAGTGTCCCCATGGCCACATCCATGCGTCTGTCTGCGCAGTGTGGGATCACACACACGGGCACTGTGGCACACAGCTGTGAGCAGGAGGATGGGGGTTTTTTTAGCTCCTCATTGTTATTAGCAGCGAGCGCTGCTTTTGGGGCGATGGCTCTGCCATGTGGCCAGGGTGGAGGTGCCTCAGCCCTTAAGGAAAACAACAGGATGGAGAAGGCTTCCAGTTCCTGCTCCGAGCGGAGTTGGAGGTGACAGCGTTTCCCCACAACGCAATTAATCCCGGCAGCGCTTCTGCCGCCCTCCCCCTCCCACCTCGTCCAGGAATTAATTACTTGATTATAAATCCCCGAGTGGCGGTTTATAATAGCAATAATCCCCTCGAAACTCATCCTTGCTGCCGCTTTCTGCCCGTCTCACCCCCCACTGCCAGAGCCCCTCTGTGCTGGGGGTCAGGATCCTTCATGGGGCCGGGGCTCACCCCGATGGCGTTCTGTCCCAGTTCTTTGGTCCTTGCTGGGGCCCAGCCCCGGGGTAACGCAGCTCGGTGCCTCCTCTCTCTGTCCCTCCTGATTACACTGACACTGGCTCTGAGGCTTGTCACAGCAGTGGGGATGGGAGAAACGATGTGGCGTGGCATGGGGTGTGCGGGAGGGATGAGGATGGCTCACGGCGGACGCTGGGGGTGGGTGATGGGCATCCAAGTGGTACCTTCCATAGCGGGAGATGAATCCTTCCATGTGTGCCCCCAGGACTTGGCTGGGACTAAAACGAGTGCTGAAATGTACTCATGGGGCTGCCTTTATCCAGGGGACACAAATCAAGGTTCCCAGCCCTTAGAGCTTCATGTGGGCATCCTGGGGTGAGAGCCCAGGAGGAGTTCAGCTTTGCTCTGATATGATCCCAGAGCTCGGCTCTGATGGCTGCTCCTCCTTTCTTCCCCTGCAGAAGATGCTGATGAAGCAGCAGGACCGGCTGGAGGAGCGGGAGCAGGACATTGAGGAGCAGCTCTACAAGCTGGAGTCTGACAAGCGGCTGGTGGAGGTAACGGGGCCAGCACCAAGGCCGGCACCCCGTGGGAGTGGGGTGGCGATGGGGAAGGATCTGGGTCCTGCAGGGTCACAGGGGTTTGGGGCTGCCAAGGGGCTGACTGCTGCCATCCCCCAGGAGAAAGTGAGCCAGCTGAAGGATGAGGTGCGCCTGCAGTATGAGAAGATGCACCAGATCTTGGACGAAGACTTGCGGAAGACCATGGAGATCCTGGACAAGGCCCAGGCCAAATTCTGCAATGAGAACGCAGCCCAGGTCCTGCATCTCAATGAGCGCATGCAGGAGGCCAAGAAGCTCCTCAGCTCTGTCCAGGTCATGTTTGACAAAACTGAGGATATCAATTTCATGAAGGTGAGAACCCTGTGCTGGGATGGGAGGTGGCCACGGGCCAGGTTTGGTGGTGGGGAGGCCTGGCTCACAATGAGAGATTGGGGACGCTGGTCTGGTGGAGCAGCCAACATCTCTAGAGGGTTCAGTGGCGCCCAGTGGGATTGGTGCAGAGGGTACAAAAGGGGTTTGGGACTCAGTGCCCCTCCTGGGCCCAGCGAAATCTGTGGTCACCCAGATGGGGAAGGTGGTGGGATGCCCAAGGACCAGGTGGCTCTACCACCTCCTGGTCCCTTGCTGGCTCTGGTGTGTCTACCAGGAGTGTAAGACGGTCAGGAACACTCTGCACATCTTGCATCCATGGGATGCGGAGGCATCCTCTTGCCCTGGCCACAGACACCTGGGCCCTGTGTCCCCTCCTGGGGAGATATGGAAATTGACATCAGTAGGGAGATGGATGCTGGGATGAGGACTGTCCTCACTGACCAGGGCTTCTCCTTCCCTTCCTAGAACACCAAGTCCGTGAAAATCCTAATGGACAGGTGAGTGCAGCGAGCGCGTTTGGAGAAGGGGGCTGTTTGAGGTGCAGCAGCATGACCTATGGAGATAGAGCAGAGCTGGGGGTGCTGCAGGGCCTCTGTTTCCCTCTCCATCTCCAGAGTGAGCTGGGCTGGCAGTGCTGGAGTTGCCCTGACAGGCCACTGGGGAGGGGCCTAGGGATAATGGATGGGAGCAGCTCCTGGGGAAGAAATCCAGCTCCGGAGAGGGTGGGGAAAGGAGCCTGGTGGGGGGAAGGTGGACACACACCGCTGTGTGTGTTTTGTCCCTCACCTCTTCTCTGCCTCTGTCTCAACAGGACCCAGAACTGTACTGGTGGCAGCCTGCCTCCACCCAAAATTGGCCACCTCAACTCTAAGCTCTTCTTGAACGAGATCGCCAAGAAGGAGAAGCAGCTCAGGAAGCTGCTGGAAGGTGGGTGAGGTTGAAGCACTGGGGAAAAGGGCTTGGCTGCCTCCCGCATCCAGCACTGGGCATCCTGTAGGTCCCAGCAAGAGATGGTGGGGAGAACTGTTGGGCTGCAGGGACCGTCTGTGGTCCGGATTAAGACACGGAGATGCTGTGAAGGCACGCTGTGGCTTGTGGGAAGGATGCAGGCTGGGGTGATGCCTTGCTTTGCCTGCGGATCCAGGGCTGTCGGGATGGCGTCCTGACGTGGTCCCACCCTCCTGTTCCCTCCGCAGGTCCCCTGAGCACCCCCGTCCCCTTCCTGCAGAGCATCCCCATGTACCCGTGCACCGTCAGCAACTCCGGCGCGGAGAAGCGCAAGCACTCCACTGCCTTCCCCGAGGGCAGCTTCCTCGAGCCATCGTCCGGGACTGTGGCCAGCCAGTACATGAGCCAGGGCGCGTCGGCCGGCGAGGGGCAGTCCGCACAAGCCATGGTGCCTTGTAGCTCCACGCAGCACATTGTAGGACTTCCCAGCGGCCCGCAGCCGGTGCACTCGGGCTCCGTCTTCAACCCATCTCACTACCCCAACACCACGTCATCTCAGCAGTCCGTGCTCTCGCAGTACGGCGGGCGCAAAATCCTCGTCTGCTCGGTGGACAACTGTTACTGTTCCTCGGTGTCCAACCACAGCGGGCATCAGCCCTACCCACGCTCGGGGCACTTCCCCTGGACAGTCTCCTCACAGGAGTACTCCCACCCGCTGCCGCCCGCGCCCGCCGTGCCCCAGTCGCTGCCGGGACTTGCCGTGCGGGATTGGATTGATGCGTCCCAGCAGCACGGCCGGCAGGATTTCTATAGGGTGTACGGCCAGCCCTCGGCCAAACACTACGTCACCAGTTAACCCGGCGGACGGCGCGTCCGAGAGAGGAGTTGTGCTTCGTTTGGGCTTTTTGTTGGTTTTCTTTGCTTTCGAATCAAACCCAGCGTCCTTCCGCCTCGCGCCCCTCCAGGATTTTGGGGAGGGTTTGTCTCTCATCTCCTTTATATTTTCATTTTTAAAAGAAATAATAATGCTTATTTCCTTTCCATTCTTTTTAATTTAATTTCGGAACGTCCCTCCTGCCCCTTGCCAGAAAAGATGAGGGGGGAATTAAGGAGAAGCAGTGGATGGGGATCTGCGTTGGGCGCGTTGCCCTCGCTCGCTGCCGACACTCCGAAGGGACAATGGCACCTTCTCTGCTCCCGCTCCTTGCAGTTATTCTTTTGGTTTGGTTCACTTTCCCCCTTTTCCTGACCTTTCTTTTTCCCTTTTCAAAATGAAAGAAAAGAAAAAAAAAAAACCTATCATTGATTCAGTATGAAATGATACGTGTAGATTTTGGGTTTGTTTCTTTTATTTTTTTTTTTAAAGGCTGATTTTTTTTGCGTTAAAGGCCACCACCTCTCACACGTCTCGGCGTTGGTTGGTTTTGGTTTGATTTGTTGTTTTTTTTTTTCCCCTCTCCTTTCAGAGATTTGTAAATACACAATGGCAGGAAATTTAATGCACAAAAAACAAACAAACAAACAAACAAAAACAAAAAAAAAAAAAGGGAAAAGAAAAAAAACCACGAATAAATAATAATAATTAATAAAACAACAAGAACAACAAAAACTGTTCTAGTTTTCAGGAGGGGAAGCGTTGCCAAACGCACCCCCCCGCGTATCGCTGATGCAACTTCCTGTAACAAGCACTTTGTATAAAAAAAAGTGGACTTCCTGCTATAAGGCACAGGTATTTATTCTGTAACCAATTTTAGAACACACACACACGCACACACACACACACACAAATATTCAAATAAATGTGATCACTTAGTGCAACCGCCTCGCTCTGCTGCGCTCTGCCCGGTGCGGCTCCGCGGGGCTCCGGGTTCTGGGGAGGAGCAGCACTGGGCTTGGGATGCGAGACCCCGAGGCAGCCCAGACCCCAACGTGCCCCGCAGCGCCGCGGGTTCCCTTCTGGGTTCATCTCCCAGGGGGATGCTGGAGGGGCGACCCTCCCAGCCCGTGAGGATGTGAGTCAGGCGCGGGGCCGCGTCCTGCCCGCGGCCTCTGGAACAATCGCCATTGTGGCGGCACAGGGACGAGGATGGGGACGGCGGCTTTGCTGCCTGCGGCAGGAATGGGCACGGCACAGCCCCAGCCCTGTGGGAAGGATGAGGAAATGATGTCGTGAGGGGCTGAGCTGCTCTTTCAGGGCAGTGGAGGCTGGTGGAGGGGAATGGAAGCCAGTGGGGCCAATCCAGGGGAAACCTGGGGCAATATAGGGGAATGGAAGCCAACAGAGGGGAATGGATCCAATGGGGCTAATTCAGGGGAAAAAGAGGAGCAGCCTCTGTTGGGGCAATAGAGGGGAATGGAAGCCAGCAGAGGGGAATGAAGGCCACTGAGGCCAATACAGGGGAAAATTAGGGCAATAGAGGGAAATGGAGGCCAACAGAGGGGAATAGAGTCCAACAGAGGGAGATGGAGGCCAATGGGGCTAATCCAGGGGAAAACTGGGGTAATAGAAGGGAATGGAGGCCAATAGAGGGAAATGGAGGCCAGCAGAGGGGAATGGAGGTCAATGGGGCCAACAGAGAGGGATGGAGAGGCCACTGCAGCCAATGGAGTGGAATGGAGGCCAAAGGGGCCTATCCAGGGAAAAATGGGGCTTTCTGGAGGCATTCAGGGATTTCTGCCATTCTTTTCAGGATTGGGTTTCTCTGCTTTCTTTTTTTTTTTACTCTCCCAGCTGTCCTCATCCTCCTCCTCTGTGCAGCTGTGGGCATTAAGGCACCTGTTGCCTATAGACGGGGCTCTGGGACATGTCCCCACCTGTCCGCATGCCTCGTTGGAGCCCCAAACACAGCACTGAGCCTCAGTACAAACCCCCTGCCTCTGACAAAACCCCAGCACTGGAACTGTTTGATGGTATGTGGGGACGTGGTGGCCTCGTGGAGGCAGTGGGACCAAAGGGGTAAGTCCAGTGCTGAGAGGTTCTGCTGATGAATGGCTCTATCTGAGGGGGAGAGGAGGAGGGGGTGAGTGGGGGCCATCCATAAACAGCTCAAGTTGTGAATGGAAGGAGATGGATTGGGAGCTGGGTGAAAACATGTGACACGGCAGAAAGAAAAATGAGCAGCTGGACCGGACCAAATTGGTGTCTGATGAAGGACATGGGGCTGGGTGGAGAAAGGATCATGGGGCCGGGGGAGGCTGATGAGAAACAGCTGGGGCCAGGCACACACATCTGGTGGAGTGGTGAGGGGAGAGGTGGCACCAACGCTTGGGTTGTCCCCTGTCCGTTGGCACATCATGGGGTCAGTGCTTCATTTCCAGCTCAGCCCCAGGAAGGGTGCAGTTCTGGGGCTGTGGTAGCGATGGGGTCAGGTCCCCAGCAACGCTTCCTCCAGCTTTAGGGACATACCCCCACTGGGGCTCCACTGTGTCAATGGGAGCCTCCTCCACCTTTTGCATACAACTGAATGACAATCAGCATAATGAGAGTGAATGCACAGCAAGCTCCCCATTTGCCACTAATTCCTTTTTTTTAACCTTTAAAAGGATTTCAGCACAACCATGCTCTGGCATCCATAGTCCAGTGGGTTGGGGACTCCAGACCCAGCCCAGGTGCAGCACTCAATGCCATCAGATGGAAACCCCTTATCCCCGTGGAAGGACAGGTGCCACCATATCACAGTGTGGCTTCCAGGAGCCTTTTTGAGCTGAGGACCCCCCAAAACCCCCCATCGCCCCTGGGAACATGGCCCCATGCTTAAACATGAGGAGTATATTTAGACGCCGTCAATTTAAGTTTGCGCATCAACCTTATAAATATGAAAGCCCATCTTGGAGAGATGTTTTTAAGATACCTCATCAGTCCTTGGAAAATATGCAGGAATATTAATTAGCCAGATCTGGATATTATCTCATAATGAATAAATGAAGAGACGCGCTGTGGAAGATAAAGAGCTGTCGGCTCACTGGGTTTTCTAAGAGCAGTGCAGTTTCGGGGTCGTTCCCCCTTCACCATGCCCACACCGGGGCCACGCAGTGCTCCTTCTGCCCTCAGAACCTTTTTTCTGTCTCCCCCCACCCTGACTCCCCCTCGGCCACTTCATGCCCTCCATCCGGGCCAGGACAGGAACTTCCCAGTTGCTGTAGAAACAGGGATGAAGGATGCTCATCCAGTGGAAAAGCCAACAAATAATGGCTTTGTGCATTCCTGGCCAGGCGATCCTCCACGCTGGGATGTGGCCACTGTAGGGCCCCTCTCTGGGGGGTGGCCAAGGGGGTCCACAGGGCTGTGGGAGGCTCCTGCTGGACTCCAAAGCCCACACTGAGATGGGACTGGTGGCCGGTCCTGGGGAACGGGCTTTGAGGGACCCCATTGCCTGGAGGGTGCTGAGAGCATTGCTGCAATGACATATGTGCGGTCCTTGGCGCCAAGAGTCCCTGTCTCCACATCAAGGAAGGTCAAAATAGGGCCCCATCTCCACGCCAATGGGGCTCACCACAGGTACTCACCTCCACGCCAATGGAGGTCATCACAGGTACCTACCTCCACACCAAGGGATGTCACCATGGGGCCCAGTCTCCACACCGAGGAAAGCCAGCTTCGTTTGCAGATTTTGGGGCTGGCAGGTGAGAAGGGGCTGGGGGCCAAGCAAGTGACATCTGGGAGGTAGCAGGAGATGGGGACACCAGGTGCGGGGGCCTGCTGGGCTCAAGGAGGGGGCAGCATAGGAGTTGTGACAGGAGTCTACTTCTCTGGAGATGTTCAAGACCTGCCTGGATGCCCACCTGTGTGACCTGGTGTAGGGAACCTGCTTTGGCAGGGGGGTTGGACTCGATGATCTCTGGAGGTCCCTTCCAACCCCTACAATTCTGTGATTCTGTAAAATGGCTGCTGGGGAGCGTCCTCTTGTCCCATCCCAAGTCCCAGCTGTCTCTATGTCCCCAGTGTCCCCTTGTCCCGTCTCTCATCCCCTGGATCCCCATGTCGCCCACATCCCCTTGTCATATCCCACATCCCATGTCTCCACATCCCCAATGTCCTCAGTGTACACTTGTCCCATCCCCTGTCCCGGAATCCCAGATGTCCCCTCGTCCTGTCCCACGTCCCCATGTCCCCATGATGGTCCCCATGCTGTCCCCATGCTGTCCCCATGGTCCCCAGCGTGGCGGCTGCCAGGGCGGCGCGTGGGTGCGGGGCGCTGCCGGCTGCCGGAGCTGCCATTGTTTGCCTTCAATCAAGATGTTTCAGGCGGAATCAAAAGCACCAACTGGGGAAATCATCATCACAAAAAATCTTGCGCCTGCAAAATAGGTCAAGTAAGACTCCAAAGAGAGAGAGCGTCTGATCTGCATTGCAAGGAAGAATAGCAACAGCTGTGATCTCCAGTATATATGGATGGGCTTGGGGGGGGATAAATATATATATCCATGCATATGTATAACCGCTTACAGCTGTTGGGCCGTATGTTCATTAGGGCCAACTGTTTTGGAGGCAGAGGGATCAACGCTAATCGGGAAAGGGAGTTTATCACCACATTCAGAGGCAAAAGTGTCAGGAGCAACTGCGGCCCCCTCACCCCCCCGCACCAGCTGTGCTGCTCAATGCCCCATTCAGCAGCACAGGGCACCGCGGGGCGGCTCCCCCACACGCAGCACCCCGTGGGGCGCCGTCCCCATTGCAGTCTGGGTGCGGGGACCCCCTGCCCCAAGGCACACCGCAGAGCTGAGCTGTCCTGCGGCCCATCCTCGGGTCGGGCCCCAGCAGCTCCCCGCGATGGGGCCGTCCTGGCGCAGTGAGTCACATCGGTTGGAAAGAAGTGGAGCCGGAACTCGCCTCACTCTCAAAACTCCCTCTGAACTCGGTCACGCTGAACCAAAACCAAACTGTTCTCTGCTTTGCTTTTTTCCCTGCTAATTTTCCTGCCAGATCAGCAGGGAGCGAGTTCCATGACACACACACTTTTTTTAACCTACAAAATGACTTTGGAGACAATATGCTGCTCTCGAAGCGCACCATCCTCGCTTCCTCGCTGCTATGATAGTTTTTGGATGAACAAAAATCCGATGGAAAAAGTGTTCTTCCAAAATCTGAGTGGTTCCAGCACAGGCAGCTGCCTCATTCCTCTTGTGAGATGGAGGGAAAGCAGAGGAGGCAGTACATGGACAGACGGATGGACAGACAGAGGGGTGGACAGACAGGCAGACTGACGGGTGGACAGGCAGATAGAGGGACAGATAGCTGGAACAGACAGACAGTCAGATGGATGGATGGATGGATGGCCTGACAGACGGACAGGCAGACAGGCAGACATACGGACTGCTGCCGGGAGAATGAAGCCCGCGGAAGGGAAAGGATCACCTCGAGACACCATGTGTCTTTCTACTAAATTTTAATGATTTACTTTTTTTGACAAAGACATCTAAACCATACACCGAGTACCAACACGAGCAGGTATTGCAAACACCCCTTTTTGGTGGAATTCAGAAAGGGAACATAAAAGAAAGAGCTTGTGTGGGCCTGGCCACAGCAGGACCACGATGGAAGAGGCAGTGCTGGAGAGGCCTCACCCCACTGCGGTCAGCCAACGCCGTCTGCTGATCAGGTACAGTTCTGATGGAGAAAAACGCCTCTAGCACATGAGGGGTGGCACTGGGGTGTGGGGAACAACGCGAGGGAAGGAGAGAAATTCTCCATCGGAGCCAACTGGGGAGCTGGGGTTTGAGCACGAGTTCCCGCTGCAAACATCAGAGCCTCATTTCCTGCTGTGCCCTTGGAGAATTTCACTTCTCCATCATCTTTCCCCTCCAGAGAACACCAATGGGCAGGAGAGGCGTCTTTAATCTATCACAAAGGTAAAACCAGATTTAATGATGTGAAAGTGAAGCACGACAGCCTCCCCCCGGGAAGGGAATTAACCCCTGCGACAGACTCCTCGTGCCTGGGCTGGGGTCGGCCGTCACTCGGAGCCTTAAATCAGGCTGCTGCCTGCCTGGCAGAGGGGCTCTCATTCAAGCGAAGGCATCGAGCTTGCAGCGAGCCTGGCTGGGTGGAATTTAATGGGCTGTGTTATGCGGGAGGTCAGGAGAGAGGAACATAATGGTCCCTTCTGGCTTTAAAAATCTATGAATCGATGCAATGTGCGGCAGAGCTCCACCCATACCAATGAGATGGTTTGCTTTGCTCGGATCTCACTTCAAAGAGGGCAAAGCAGAGTTGGAAGGACAAAGCCTCCTCAGGACATTAGCATGAAGCACGTGGGTCAGGAGGCAGAGGGGCAGCGTTTGTGTTCCCAGCTTCACAGGTGGTACTGAGCCGGGTGCTGCTGGGGGCAGAGTGGCAGGTGAGCAGGACCCCACATCCCTTTACATTTCTACCGGGTCAATACACAGAGCTTACAGTACAGAGAGCATTTATGGCCATTGCTGCAAGATGATTTACTTCAGTCGTTGTAACCCTCCACCTCCATCCTCCCAGGTAGACCACATTCATCTACCAGATGACAGGCGAAGCTCTGGCTGGAGCAGGACCAAGCAACCAGCAAACATAAGGAATGAGCCAGCAAACGCTTCTGGATCCTGAGTTCAGTAAGGCAATTTTTCCTTCCAAACTGGAGCAAGAGTAAATTTACAGCATTTTATACACATTTTCCAAGTATAACTGATGGGAGCCTACAGAAGTAGCAGAGAGCAGGGCAGCACTTAGCTCTGCAGTTCTGCAGGTGAGGAGGGTTCCCTTCTGCCCCCAGGGGGGTTTTGTTCTGATGGGGCAGAGGAGAGAAGCCAAAGCACTTCACTCAGCACCCAGTGCCAGCCTAAAGCTTGGGACTGTTTCCCACAGAGCAAAGAGTGCCTTCCAGAAGCGGCTGCAATGCTTTACAGCACTTTCATCAGGCATATGTGCGGATATGGAGAAAAAGGGGATCTCTCATACACGTGCTGGGATACATTTCTCCTCCTTTGGCTCCAGAAACATGAGGGTTCAGCTTCCTGAGGCTCCCCTTAAGCTAACACAGTTGCTCTGTTTAAATGAACATCTCTCCTCACGACTCCTTGCTCAATGCACGCCAACTGGAAGCGTGTCACTTCTTTGTGTCATTAGCTATTGCCTAACAGCTCGATGGAGCCTCCGCTCCCCTCCCAGCCCTGCTTTTTGCAGCAGGCTGCATCGCTCCGTCTGCACGTCCCGCCTGGGCTGCAGACAGATGCACTCAGGGTGCTGACTCACAGACGCAGGCAGATTACACTTGGATCGCTGCAGCAGTTGCTGTCCCAGCTGTCCCTCTGCCCCCAGCCACAGCAATGACAGCTGAACTAGGCGCAGCCCAACCCCTGAACCATCCCCATGTACGGGGGGACCTGGAAGCGGCCCCAGACAATTTCAATCTGCCGGGCTCTAACACGGAGGCGGCTTCACGCACAGTGCAGATGTTTGTGCCGTGAGCTGGAGATGTCCAGGGGAAGGGACGAGCGAGGCGTGGAGCTCCAGGGGTGTCAGCTGGCCGCCTGGCTCCATGAGTCAGCTCGCTGGTGCGTGGTGAAGCCACATGCCGCAGGACACACAGCTCGCCCCGTGCCGCCCGCCTGCAAGAGGTGGAAGGGGTAGGGCGGTCCCCAGCCAGCCCTGGCCTTTCGCAGGCAGGCGGCAAACAAAGCTGGCAAGCAGGGCAGCGGGATTATTTTACCATCTGTGCGTTAGAAACTGGCCCAGGAGTCACCACGCTCGCTTCAACAGGACGTGGCTGCTTTGGCGCGCCAAGTGACTCCTGCCCGCTGTCAGCTGGGGATAGATTTGAATCGCGGACAAGGAGGTGGAAAACGCATTCGCGTTTCTATCTCAGCAACCGCATCCTTCTGCAGGAAAGGCAGTTCAGGGGAGAACAAACCCTCGCTATAAAGAGCGTTTCCCATCTGCCGGGCTCCTCACCTCCACCCGGCTGAGCTGCAGCTGGCAGCGGGCTGGGGGCACCTCCATGCGGGGCTGCTGAGGAGGGCGGGAGAATGGGTTTTGCACACTGCAGAGAGGAAGCCTGGGACCTGGTATCTCATTCTAGAAAGTAATCACGGACTTAATTGCATTTTGCTGCGGAGTTGCCTTAACATCAAGGGAAAATCAACAGGGATTGTTCAACATCAAGACTAATCTCACATATGGAGCTTACTGAACACAGGAACCACGTTTTTGCTGGCTCAAGGTGAAACGCCGGGCTAAATTCTCCTTCAGCTGCGAGAAAAGCCCCAGGCACGCTCATCCTGCATTATTCCAATTGTAAAGAGCTTCAATTATACACACATAACCCTCTTCCTTCTACGGCGTCGTCGCAATGTAGCAGTGTCTCGTTATGATCAAACTCCTCTTTTATGGCTATAGGAATATGCTGAAGTCTTCTACCCTCATTACACAAATGACTCCTTATCAGTTTTTTTTAAGAAACTACCCACAATTGGTAACAAAACCACGTTTTATCTGTCACTGAGGAAAAGCTGTGACTGACACCTGAGCGTGTCCTCAGCAACTGCAAGCCTGCACAGATAGGGCAGCTCCTATGCATTTAAGCAACTACAGTAACTCACCACTCCCTCTGCTTCACACTGAATCAGTCTTGCTTCTGCTTACAAACTTGCTGGCTAATCAGACATTTACTACTATTTATGCATAGGGAGGAAATATATAATTCCTTTATTGGGATAAAAAACGATACTAAAGAGCAGGTCAAGTTCCAAATCCAGCAGTAGGTTTTAACCGATGGTGTTCCCTTTTTTTTCCTCTCTCTCTTTTTTTTTTTTTTCTTTTAACAGCTGTAGCTGTGCACAGATGGAAAAACATTTGGTCAGAAAGCAGCAAATTAGTGTTTTCAGGCTAGAATTCTGCTCCCACCGCTCCTCCATTTCCATGCAGCTCAGAGTGCTTTATTTCTTCTTTGCATTGACATTTTTGCACACCCAATTCATGCCGTCCTTTAGACAGAGAAAGGCAGTGTTAGTTGAGGGAAGGGAAAGGGAATCTCCAGTCCTCCTCTGCCCCATGCCTGCACTCTGTGCCCAAAACCACCGTGCATAAAAGCAAGCGTTTCATTGCTCAGTTATTAAATCCTTCTTCTGACCATAAAAAGTATCATCATCTCATCGTGTCACTATGCCTCGGTCCTGCAAGGAAGGATCACTTTGCAGTTAAGGTATGTCAGCAGCAGATCGAGGCTCAATTCTAGGTTCAGATCATTTGTGCAACCTTGGCCATGCCACCTTGTCTTTGAGACTGTGCATTTTAAGCTGTTTGTTACACAGCCAGCTCCACATTCAGAGCGTGCCTCTAATTCTCTGCACAGCTGCGTGCCTCCTGTGTGTCCCCAGGCAAATCACATCAGCTCAGATGGACGAAAGTCCCTTTAATCATGGCATGTAGACTCTGTGCCTCTGAGAAACAGGCACTGTGGGATAACACAGTGAGAATAGAGGTGGTCATGTTTTACGATGCCGATACACTCGTTAGGGTACTTGTGTAAAAACGAGTGCAGCTACTACTTCTTGCTATTGCAAGCAATAGGGCAGCTCTTCAGTTGTGAATAACTGAGCATGAGTTTCTTGCTGAGGTCCCAGAACGGGATATGCCACTGAAGGACAAAGCGACACTTTATCCCACTCCTGATGCTTCTCTGATGTGAGGTGCAGAGAATGGAGTGCAGGATGCACAGTTCTCGTATTTGTGTCCCATCAAACCCACCCCTACCCTACCTACAAGGCATTGCTGGTGCCACGGGCAGAAAGAAGGCAGGTGGGATGGGACATGGTTGTGCTTGTAAACTGGGTGAAAGCCACTCTGGAGCTCTGGGAGGATTTTGGTGCATTATGTTCAACGGTCAACATGCTGTGTTAAAGAATAAGCAAGCCCAGTTTGGCTGGCTGCATGTGTGGGGCCAGGTACTAATAACACTGCTACCTCGAACCTCGGGGAGGGCTGCTGCCTCCAGTTTCATTTATTTATCTCCACAGCAGAGATCCGCGTAAAACAAATTGTCTGAAATCCTCAGAGCAAATGGGGAAAGACGAGAGGTAGATTCATTTTAAGGCCCAGTAGCTTTGTGTCTTCCCCTTTCAATAACACCGATAACCTAGGTGTAAAACATGTAACGCCTTAAGCAATCAATAGCATGGTTTAAAGCTTATCGCTTTAGAGAGAGAGGGAGCCAGCCTTCCCAGCCAGCGGAATGCCAGGGCTTAACAATGGGGCAGGGAAGAGAGGTGTCAAGCCTTTGGCTCCATTGTGTGCTTTAGAAATGCGCGTGATTGCCTGCAAAGAGTGAAAATAAATAAATAACTAAAAACGCTCCCACAACGATTCCAGCTTCCCCTGCCTCGGAAGCAATAATCACATTTGCACACATCATGGCATACAAGGCAAGCAGAGCTCCTCATTCATTTTGAATGTAGGTTTATTTGCTGAACCAGAACAGCTGAGACAGCTTTAAGTAATAAATATCAGCTGACACCCTCTGCTATTCAGCACAGTAATCCCAGAAACAATACATCACTGCAAAACAACAAACACGCATCCTATCTTCTACCTAATCTGACCACAACCTGAATTCACAGTGATTAAAACTCTGCCTGCTGCCATCAGGGAGCTCAGGAAGGGGAAAGACAGACCGTTTTAGCACCGGTGTGGTGAGGGTCATAAAGCAGAGTTTATGATGGGATTTACCATGGCTGGGAGCCTGGCTGCATCAAGCATATAATGAGGGCAAAAGAATGACATAGCAAAATGCAAGAGGAAAGGTGAACTCCAAACAGGCTTGAAATTCGTAAGTAGGTCGCTGAACTTTTAAAGCAGGAATTGATTTTAAAACTCTCTTCTGGCACGAGATAATTGACAGGAAAAATCACATTTAATTGTAAGTATCTCCCTGCCTGACAGTGATAAAGAGAAAACGAATGCAGCCAGCTCTACATGCAATGTATCTTCCTCATCTTCAGCCATGCTGCAGCTTCTGGTGCAACTTTGTCAGGGCACGTTTTCTGCAGTGCCCTGAGTGCAACAGCAAATGCAACGGAAGGCAAAGGAAACAAGAAGGTACGTTTGCAGTTTTTCTACCTAAAGTCTGAAGTGGGACAAGGGGTTGTTAAGACAGAGAAATGGAGAGAAGCTGTTACAAACACAAAGAGCTCTGTGGGGAAAGCACAGGGGAAGGAGGAAAAGATGCTTGAAAGAGTCAAGTCCACAAGGAGTCAGCTGCAGTCATCCTTTGTCCCTGCATTTTCTGTCCCTATATCTGCATGCTTAAAAGATGGCTCTGTGCAGAAAGTACAGTCCCTACAGTAACATTTAGATCTTGATAGATGTCCTTGGGCTGCTTTGTTGAGACAGAGACGTAGGCAGATATGCTGAGGATGGAGACGGATACAATATTAGTATTCCAGCCTCAAGTCAACCATGGGAAAACTTAGCCAGGGAAAGACTTCAGATCTTTCGGCTTCAGCTCTCTTAGCTCCTTAACAAGCAGCTAGTAAACTTTACCAAAGCAAAGAGAGAGAACTCCAGGGAAGAGGATAATGCTCCTTGCAGAGAAACGCTGCTTAGCGCAACCCCGCCTCGCTGCAGTCACGTCTGCTGTTGTGCCAGGGGAGTTGTGCTGTGACACCCTTTGGGAAAGAACTGCTAGAGCCTCCCCCAGGAGGAATGCAAAGTCCTGTTTGAGATTAGCCCACTGCTTGCTTATTCTCTGCATTATCAGCTTTGTGGCTGAGGGAGTGAAGTAATCTGACTTCAAACGCAGTGAATGAGTCCCTTCCACCCCATAAAAAAGCATCCTGATTTCTGCTCCCCTGCAAGCCAGGGATCAGGCAAGGCCACACACTTGTGACCCCTAATGTGACCTTAAGGACAGCAAAGCTTAATCCTTTCATGTAATCTTCTGTCTGCCATAACAAATTGGGTCATGCAAGTACAAAATTCTCCATCTCTAGCATTTTTGGTGTATGTTATTTTAACTGCCGCTTTCTTCTCCCTCTGCAAGCTGTAAGTGTGGCTTCATTATCTGTCATTTCTTTGCACCTCTGCTCAGCATACAGGCAGGCTTTATAGGCTCCCACAAGTATATCATCCTTGCCTTTGCCTGGGTGCACGCTTTTTTGTCCTCTGAGAGCTTGTATCCCCAACGCAACTTTGTAGAGTCTCTTTTTACCCTGCTTAAAAATCACAAGACTTTGCCCTGTAGTCTGGAAATACTGCTGCTTTTCCTCATCACAACTGGCTCTGCCTGCCCCAGGAGAGCTGCAGTAGTCAAAATTGGTTTAAAATCACATTCACAAGTAGCCTCAGAACCTTCTTAAGATGTGGGAGATATCTGGCCAGCCTGCTGTGGCTTAGACATCTTTTAGACAAAACCTAGCTCAGAGGATATAACACAAAAGATTGCTGGGAGTCCTGCTCTGAATCTTGCCCCTGTCAGAGTGGTGAACTGCAGTACCAGCAACATGTAGGTCTTGGGCTCCATTCTCCCAGTGGAGAATAGAGCCCAACAGGGAGAAGTAAGCAGTTCAGCTCAGACTGGCTCTGGCATAAATTAGAGTTTAGTGGCTACTCTCATTTCCACTGGCTTTTAATAGTCTCCTGGGTGCTATTATGCTTGGGAGACTTTGGACACAATATGCTGCAGCATCGCCCTGGAGGAGATTCCTCAGGGCAGGCTGAGCTCCTGCTGCCTTGATCCAAGATTCTTGCTTCAAACAAGAAATGAGCTGCAGAGCACAGACTGATCCAAAGTCTTGAGTCGTGTTTAATACGTACTGCCCCCTGAGAAGCATCTCCAGCAAAAGCAGGGGACTCCCTTTAGCTTTCACCTCATCCCAGCTGGCCAGGATGGAACATGCATAGCTTCTGCACAGCAATTAGAGACGTGGTCACAACCCCAGGAGAGCCCACGTGGCAATGGAGAGCTGCTGTGAGGCAAGGTCTCCCTTGTGTTTCTCTGCTGGAATTGGTGATCACCTCCCCCATTTGTTGTATCACACACAGGGGTCTCAGTATAAGCTGGAACAGGACGCTGCTGCTCTAGAGGCAGAGTCCAAACAGTCGTGGCAGGGAGATGAGGCTTTCCCGACTGATAACTAGTCAGAAGGTTAAAATCATATGCAAGCAGAAAGCTTGTTTGAAATAGCTTCTAAGGTGAGGGATGTCGCTCCTCTTGCAATGATATTATGAAGGGTGATTGAGCAGACAAGTGTTGCCCATGATTTCACTCTGGAGGTAAAGAAGTCTTCAGCTGGCACAATGCAAGATGGCCAGCTGGCTTCCAGAGGGCTTCCTGTATGGGGTTTCCAGTTAACCCAGCCACCTTTCTCCTGAGCCTGCCCAGAACATTGCTGGGCCCTTCTTCCTGAGTCCCTGATGGTTAATTTTAAAAGAGAAGATGACAATATGGATTCCCTCCTTAATTAACAGTTTTATTAAATAACCCAATTCAAATAATAGTTAAATTCTCTAAATTTGTATCATTCTATTAACCATAATCTAATCTCATTAACCTTGAAATCCCCAGTCTTAACTACCCAATTCTATACACCATGGTGCTAGCAGCTAAACTAATTAAATGACCTTCAAACTATTTCTCCTTCATGTATCGGCATTATTTATCTTTGCTCATTGCTCTTCCTTCAAGCTATCACAAAAATCTTCTCCTATGAACTCTGTACCTCTGTGTGCTGAGTACTAGATATGCTACCACCCTTCCCTGCAAAATCCATCAGTGACGTCTGTGATTTTACTCCAGCTAATGTATTCCATCAGCAGTGATGGTTAGTGTGATTGCTCTTCGCCTTTCATCTGAATACCTGATGCTTCCACATCTTCATTTATTTTTCTGTCACTCATTGTCATTTCTCAAAGAAGTCCTTAAACCAGTGACCTGATCACTAACTACACATAGATGGCCTCCTTCTGAGCCACTGGTAGAGATAGTGTACCACAATTCTCAAAATCTTCTCTCTTCATCTCGTGCTCTCAACAAGTTTTTATTTGATTCCTCTACATTTTGAGCATGTTGTCTTCTGAGAGTCCCAGGGATGAAGACATTCTTTATTTCTGGGCTGACCCAATTGCACCTAAGATCCTTTAGTTTAAAAGCCATCTTGGAAAACATTCTGTTCAATGAACTGCCAAGAGAAGGAGAGCTTGGCATCCTTGCTGCCTGATTTGACAGGGCTGGAATTATGGCACAAGAGAAATACAAGGGCTCTTACTATAAGCTGCAGAGAATTTGTGACTTGCCTTTTTGCAACAATCACTTATGGAATAAGCTGCAGTATTTAGGGCAATGAGACTGGGGACAACAGCACGTTATCTGCCCTGCATCTAAATTAATTTGTCTAGATAAGCATAATGAACAAAATCTATAGGGCTGCAAATACTTTAATTTAGCTCTCGTCTTCTGTTTTCTGCAAGTAAGTACAGAACTGGATTTAATTTCTCTGGGTGAGAACATTGGGCTTATATTCTGGTCAACTGAATGCATGCGAAGATGCACTACTCTTCAAGGAGAGGGCACAGAAAGGAAGACTGAGCAACAAAAAAGTGCGCAGAGCGCTTCAGAGAGCCTGCAGATCAGCTTGGAAAAGAGGCATTCTTCATAGCTCATCAACAGAAAGTGCCACCTCCTGTCATGTAGCTCTTCCACATCCAGCACTCCTCCCAGAAACTCATCTGCCATTCTACTGCCCTTAAGAGCTGGACTTAGATAAAACAGAGGAGGGCCTGAAGGAAGGAAGCAGGTAGCCTGATTTGTCTGCAACCTTTTGAAACTGCAATCTCACTTTATCTTAAATCACGATCACGTTTCTTCGGACTTCAACATACACTGCCACTGAGGAATGTATTTCCCTTTTAAGACCACTGCTTCAAAATAAAGATTGCAGAGTTGAAGCTTTTCACAAGGGTGGTTACAACATAGCTCAATTTGTATTTTAGCTAAGGGCCTTTGAAGGACACCATCTGAAACATTTAGGTCTAAATGTGAGGTTAAGAAATTCAAAGCTAAATAACTACTGTAAGGGATCAGGTCAATGGACGCCAAGGGAAAGAACAAGTGGGAACTGGGTTCTTTCTCCTAGTCTATGGCCCAGGCTGCTCCTCGCCCAAAAGTTATCCCCAGATCTTGTCTGAGGAGCTCTTTAGAAATTCGCTTAATATTTTTCTGAGCCAACCAATTCCTTTGGTCTCCCCAGCATCTTCAGCCAAAGAGATCCACAACTCAATTATGCAACTAGCGAAGAAGCAGCTTTTACTTGTTTTAAATTGTTGCTTCACTAGGAACCTCCTTCCTCTAGCAATGTGGAAAAAACAACATATAGTCTGTCACTTGTATCCCATAAACCCCAAAGACATTCTCGCTTTTTGTCCGTGCTCTCTCTCTTCTAAGCTGCAAGTCCCAATCTATTTATTCTCCTCGTTTACAGATGTCACTCTGTACTGCTGATCATTCTCAAAATAATCTCAAAAAAAGATCCTCAAATCTCTCATACTTCTGAGCAGGTATTTGGACAATATTTTTCTTGATGGGAGCAGTTAAGTGCTGGAAAGTACTGTGTAGAGAGATGGGGGAATTTCCATGCTTGGAGATGCTTACAGCTTGAATGGACAAGGCCCTCAGCAACCTCCTTTGTACTTTTAGTTGGCCATGTTTTAAGCGTAAGACCCTTCAACACAATTTCTTGGACTCTGATTTTACTGCTGCTGAAGTCTTTTTAGATAGGAATAAAGGCAGAAATTAATGTCGTGTTCAAGGCTGGTGCCTACCATGCCTTTATTCTGTTACAGAAGAGAGTTTTCTAGAAATTCCTTTTCTAGTTACTGGCAACTCCCTAGCATTTGGTTTTCCCTTTTTGGCCCTTGCTGAGCACTAAGCTGCTGTTCCCAGTGATCTGCTCTGAGTAATGGCAGCTAATTTAGAGTCCATCATCATATATGTCTAGTTAGAGTTGTTGTTCCTCACGTGCATTATTTTGCACTTGTCAGCACTGAATTTCATCTGCCATTTTATTGCCCACTCAGTACTGTGGGCTTCTGCTCTGACTCTTCGTACTCAGCTTGAGATCTGGCTATCTTGAGCAGCCCTGTAGCATCTGCAAATAAGGAATTCACTGAATTTGCAGTGGAGATAAATGGCTTCATGATTTTGTTTCTTTAAGTATCAGTGAAGGGAATAATCCTGACTGCTTGGATTGGGAGCGCTGCAAATATTTAATTCAGGAAAGCCTAAGAGTGAAATAAACAAACCCAGGTCCCATTTACATTACAAAGAGCTGCTATGCTGCAGGAACTGGCTACAAGGCGCAGCTATTACAGTTCAGCTCAGGAACACAGCTCAGCCCCCTGTGAGGGTTTGTGCTGCCCCACATGCTGCCATTAGAAGTGGTCTTTGCCCCATATGCTGCTCTCGTGTTTCTCAGATCAGAAAAATTGATCGGCTGTTCTCTGGCGCCTGGGTTGAGCAAAACGCCAAATGACATTAGTAGTGAAGGTAAATCAGATTTCTAAAGTGCACACTTGTAACAGTCAAAGGGGTTAATAGTAGAAGGCGATTTGTTTTGTGAAAATGATTAACCTGACAGCAGTCTCTTTAAAATAAATCAATGTCTTCATCTGGCCCGGTCAAGGGGTCCCGGGTGGGGAGGCGAAGGCTCCCCTTTTCCAGGGACAGAGAGATCCCCAGGGCCCACAGCTGCCCCTCCCCTGCACACAGGAGGTGAGTGAGATACGTGACCCGTGCTGCGAGCAGTGAGGGCTTGGCCGTGCTGACCCTCTTTCGCCATGCAGCCAGCGCTGCCCCACCCTGCAGATCGCAGACAAGGATCTCTGTCTCGCAGATGGCCTGCTGGCACAGCAAGCCCTCTCCAGTGCCTCACCTGTACTCCCTCTCCTGAAAGAGCCGAACAAGACTGGATCTGCCAGACTCTGTCACGGATTGTGTGTAGGTTCAGTCCCTCGGCAATCTCTGAAGCAGGGGCAGCCGTCAGCAAATCCTGCTTGTTAGCGAATATGAGCACGGGGACTCCACCAAGCTTTTCTTCATCCAAAAGCTCAGCCAGCTCCTATATCATTTACAAGAGAGTAGGGTGAGGGGAAGGCGGAGGGAGGCAAGGGAAGAAAACCTTCAACCACCAGTGGTTGTCTCTAATTAGAAATATATTTAGGGCAAATGCTGGAAGAGCGTGTTCCAGTGTTCTTATTATAAGAGAAGAAAAATGTATACAATCATCCGAGCCCAAGGTTCAAAAGCTATTTCTTCCAATTACAGGTTACAAAAATCTTCATCTTAGTCTGAAATTAGCAGTTGCCTTAAAGGCTACAGCTCTGTGTTTTACCAGTCGCTGCTCCCCAGAGACCAAAATTGATGAAACAGCAAAAAACATGTAAATTGGCAGGATGAGGAATCTGTTTTAAGTTACTGCCTGACTGGCATTTGTACCTGAGCAGCCGCTGACACCAGCCCTGATATCTTCACTAATAATGACTTTCAGGGGTTTGTTCCAAGTTCTATAAACTGCAACTTGAGCAGCAGAGGACTTTTTTCTTTTTTTTTTTTTTTTTTCCTTTTTCCACCAGAAATGGAAATCCCACAAGAAAGTGGCAATGCTTTTGAAGGCACTGGCTAGCTGAAGACAAGCTAGGTCAGCCCTGCTAGCTGGATTTTGGCTCCATATGCAGAGTACACATTGGGTGGCATCCTGAGAAATGGGTTTGTCCATTCTAAACTGAATGACTCAAAGAGAGTCTTTTAATAGCCCAAATCTGAATCTACAGTAGATCAACGATGGCTGAAATACTTCATGTCTAGGGTTGTGCAATGGCCTCACATGAAACAAGCAGTCTCAAGTCACTTCCCTATGCAGCATATGGCAAACCCAGCAGAACTTCAACCTGCAGGGACTGCTGGTATTGCAGAGAGATGAGTAGATGAGATTTTTTTTGTGGGCTCCTTATTTAGCTGGAAAGGTTTTTCTCTCAGATGCTGTCCTGATATCTTTCATTCACTAGCCAGACACTTTTGGATTAAAGGAGCACAGTCAGGGAGATGCTAAACTGCAGTGGAAATCTGATTCCATCCCCTGAAAAGCAATGTTTGGTTTGGAAACCAGGGCGAGAGAACAGAGTTATAAACAGAGCTGGCCAGGAATTTTTCAACAAAATCGGTCTTTCATCTGACACAGCTGATTTACTGAAATCAAATTATTTGTGGAAATGTGAGGGGTCCAGTCTGAGTTCACCTGACTCAGGCAAGTGCTCTACACTTCTGCTTCTTCCCCCTCTCTTTTGCCTAATGAATATTTAATTGCTGATTATAAAACAAAACAGCATCAACAGGAGAGAAATTTCCCCTGCTCCTAAAATAACCAACAGTCCTTCTGTGAGGGTGTGCCCTTCAGATTAGAGAGACAAAAGATCAAGTGCCTCCTTCAAAACAGGCAGAACAGAGGGCTTTAGGTTAAATCCCTCCTTTCTGACTCCCATTTCAGGGGCAAATCTGCTGTTAGATATTTTGAGACACTGTCACTTTCCAATTTTTGTAACAAAGTTCAAGAGTCCTATTTTTGTTCCATCCTAAAACACAAAACATTACAAAACATCAAAACTTTGCAGAACGGAAATCTTATTTTCTAGCCAGTCCTAGTTACAAAGTTCCTGGGTTGGTTTTTTTTTTTTTTCAATTACATCCAAAAGACAATCAAGTCAATATGATTTCCATTTCAACTTCGTAAATAAGAAAATAAGATTCCTAAGGGTCTTGGTTTGGCAAGGTTTAAAGGACTTAGAAAAGTTTTTTTTTGTTTTTTTTCTTCTAGTATGGGGCTCTGTTTGCTATTCTTGTATAGTTTTAATGAAAACCGTTCTATTTAAACGGAATTAGGCTACCTATTTTCCTTGTTTCACATCTACCAAAATAATCTGCATTGATGTTGAAAGGCAGGTCTCTCTTGAAATGCAAATTTTCCTCATAAACAACAAAATCATCTCTCTAAGTTTTGTGAGCAAGGGGCACTCAGAAGCACTCTGTTACTTCAAAGGAAGCTGGGCATAAGTAACTCACCTGACCCGTTTCTTCAAACCTCTTCCTATCTGCACTGTCAATGACATAGATCTGAAAAAGAAATGAGGGGAAAAAGTTACTTTTCCCAGAAGACACTCTTCCTTAGTATCATATAAATGAGCTAAGCCTAATAATTATGGTTTTGGGCACAAAGATACTTAGTATTATTTATATACCCAGTGTTGGGAAAACATCATGACGTTTAGACAGGAACCTCCTTTTTTAAAACCCAAGGGAGTGGACAGCCATGTGGTAAGGATCAGAAAGTTGCTTGTGGCAGTACTGGGGATGCTCTTACCAGTTCCATGTTATCTGAAGAGAACTGGAGACTGCCTGGCATCATTGCAAATGGCCAGCTTACAGGCTGGAGCTGAGTACAGGATGGCAAAACATGGGGATCCAGATATGGTCATACACCGTAGCAAACAGCGCCCAAGCTCTGCAGAGCTGTGAATAGACCAAGCTGCTTTCTAGCAGAACATGTCACCTTCTCATAAGCCAACAAGGCACATAATAGCACTCAGGGGACAGATGAAGTTTGAATATATTGGTGACATTGAGTTTCTGTCCTACCATGACCTCCTGGGACAGGTGGCTGGATCCAGATTGCAAGACTCTGTCTTCAGCTGTCAGCTTGTCCTTAAGGTGGCAGAGGAGACAGGCAGAAGCTGGCTCCCAAAGTCTGACTGCAGAGCTCTTCCATCTCCTCAGAGCTGGGCACTACATGTCAGTCTGTGAGGAGGTCCCAGGCAGACATCTGTCCCTGGGTGAGAGTGGTTCTCCAGCCTGCAGGCTCCCTGCCTTTGCAGAGGGTCCCTGCCCTCTCCAGCAGCATGCCGTGTCCTGCTTTCCTTTTTTTAAATGCCTTCTGCACAGGCTAAAAGGCTCCTCAAAGACCCCACAAGGTGAGGGATTAGTAAATCCAGTCACCCCTCCTCCTTCCCTCCAGCAGTGCTACCACAATTCAGAAAGCACGCATAGCAAACTACACCTAAAGAAACTGGGGAACCTCTGTATAACATCCAGGCAAGAATCACCTCATCTTATAGGAAGGGGAAGGCTGCTGGGGCAGCAGACAGGGACAGGACTGGTGATAAACACTGAGTCTTTCGCTTCCAGCCCCTGCCATTCTTCATCAGTGCTGACTGAAGCTGCTAGGATGTCATATGCACGCTCTTGGGTGGCTACAGGGAGCAAGTGTCAGCATGGTTTTGAGGGAATAGATGAGCACAGCACCCTGCCATCAAGATAAATGGCATCCTTGCAGGCAGTTTCAGCGCAAGACTCCATGCTTCCAGGATAATTCTGACCAAACAGTAGGGGGAGGGAAGATCTCTAGCAGCACTGTCTACTAAACTGTAGGTACGCCCTTAGCGAGCAGTGCTAGGGCTGTTTAAAATGGGACCAGATGAATGGTAGGAGAATCTGTGTGCCAGCCTTGAGAAGGAGGAATCTCTGCAGGCTCACTGGCCTGTTAGTTGATCAGCTGGGATCTGTGGTCCTCCCTGTGGCTGATGCACACTGAGAGAGCCTATGGATACATAGCAGGGCTGGACACAGCTGTGCAGGGACACGGCAGTAACGCACGTGCCTGGTGCCACGTGATGGGGAAAGGCCCACGGGCATGCGTGACACAGCCTCTCCCTGCAATGTGATCCCAAAAGTACTGCTTCAGCTACACCTGTCCTCTCTGTCCGAAGCACCCACCCCTGTGCATCCCATTTGAGGTAGAAAGCGTGGTCTAGAAAGAAAGAAGGAAGATGTGGAGTGGTGGTTGTGAAACTTGATTATCATCTTTCCCCCTTCAAGACATCTCAGGGGAAGCTTAGCAACGCATGAATGCAATAGTAGAGCGCTATTTCTTAGATAAAAGGTTACACCTTGCATATTATGGTGCTTTTCTAACTGGCAAGGAAGAGCCCCATTGCCACAGCCAGCCAGGCTTTCTCCTGCACCACTCTGTTTCTTGCTAGGGAGCCACCTTGCAAGATGAGAACTGGAGACACAGCGCTCAGGGCAAAAGCCACAAAAGCACAGCAGAGAAGATAAAGTATGTGCAGAGTGCCTACTTCCAAACCAGAAACCACTGTGCCAAATAGCTGCAGGTGCCTGTCTGAATATGCAATCAGCCAGATATCCACACCTTATTTGCCTGGGTTAAGCTTCCAAATATCACAGGTGTGTGATGCAAGACCTAGCTCTCATTCAAAGGCACCTGCATGGATTTGAATTTGCAATCACTTCCTGCTTTTTAATACTTCTTAAAGGGTCCTTTCTACTTTGTGCAATATATTTTAGGAGAAGAGAGAAGCAAGGGGTCCTGGGAACTGTGGCATATCTTATTTCCATCTTTCTTCTGAAGCGAGGCCCACACAAGGCTTGCTTCTGGCTCTAGTGTTCTGTAACATGGTTCGCTAGTTTGAGCAGCCCTCAAGTAGCGCATTGGAGCTTGAGAAAGAAACACATGTGAGGTGTCTCCTTTGAGGAGCAGGCCTAAACAAAACCTGGAGTAAGTGAGCTGGGCAAAAATTGCAAGTGATGGGGCTGGATGAGGGAATAATACAAAGGATAAGTTAGCTCAATTTACAGAGGCATGACCTGCATCAGGTTTGCAAGAGGAGATGAATTACTGACTGTAAGGGGTGCAAGAGCTGGTAAAAGAACTTGATCTTACCTTTTTTCTATCCCAGTTTTGGTGCGTATGGACGTGGCAAAGCACTGCACTAACATGGAGACAGCTCTCAGTCCAGGACTGGCTGCTAGCTGGCCAGTAGGGAGTGCAGGCTCATGTCCACATATGCATCAGTTACTCCCTCCCTGAATTCACACTGCTGCTTCCCTCCAAACTGACTCTGGTTCTACCAACTATCTTATTCGTATAAAAAGAAAGGTTTTCTCTGCACGTTGCTTTAGCTAGAGTGGGAGGAGGACTGGGAACACAGCTGTATTCATCTCCTGTCTTTGAATTCACCTTTATTTCCACACCTCTCATGCAGCACACCCTGGGAAGGGGGGAAGACCACAGACCAAGATAGCTCATTGCTTTGCCAGCAGAGCCTCACAGGCACTGTTTTGCAGTTGTACAGCCTCTGCAGTCTGAACAGCGGCTGTAGCAAAGATTCCCTAGCTGCTGCTTTGCAGTGTTGACTTTGATTTGCAAATCTACATTCACCTCACCAGCAACTGCAGAGCTCAGATCCAGTGGGCATGATAGCCCTGCAGCCATGCCATGTTTTCTTGATGGCCACAGAAGAGTATGTGTTCTTTGTCCTGCTAGTTTTTTCAAACACAGATTTTCTCTTTTTAAGATTACACCATTACCCCCTGAAAAAGCAACCACTCAGGTTTACGCCCCTTCAAACATCAGACTGCAAATTAACACTGGAAGAAGAGAATCTGGAGAAGAGACTAGGGGACTTTTTAGACCTATTTAAATAACATATTCATTTGGACAATGTTTTCTAAGCGTGCAGGTACAGCCAGACCCTTCAGGACCCAGTGAGCCTCGGAGCAAAAAGCTCTACTTCTAGTTGCACTGATCCTACTATGGAAGTGAACTGAAGCTCCCAGCAAGTCAGTGAGTATGGATGTGTGTGATACAGAAGGGAGGAAGGGCGTCTTTCAGAGAGAGCTTCCTGCTTTCCCATGGGAGCCTGTAGACCTTGCTTAGAATGGCTTTTTCTCTGCTCTCACTGGCAGTGCTGCTTGGCAGGGGGGTGGGCCTGGAGCCCCCAGACTGTCTCCATCCTGCCACGTGTGACTGCATGTTAGAGGTACTCTTTGAAACTAGTCAGGACAGCACTTAGAAGGTCCTGGGGTAACGTGCTCTGGCATGGTCCCACAGTGTAATTATAATGGTAGTCAACTGTAGCTAATTGTAAGGTAACTGCAGCTAAGATGTCAAAAACATTAAAGGACGGTGTAATGATGAAAGGACCAAAGGAAAAGACAAGGGGTCTCTCTGTGCCCCTCAGCCAGAAGCCTTCCTATCTGATGCCAGACACAACATTTAACTCTTCTGTGCTTCAGTTTCCCCAACCATAAAGAAGGCACCATTCTGACCCACCTCCATACATGAGGCTTAAGTCGCTCGAACCCATGACGGGCTTTTGGGAGTCTCCAGTGAAAGGAGCCATAGATGGGCAAACTACAAGTAACTGATGTTCACTTTTTTGAAAGAGCCTGAGATGAGAGGAAAGGAACTGGCCACAGCCAGCACCATCCCATGGAAGTAAAAACATACAACTGAACGATTTCTCCAAACATCACTGCATTTTTCTTAGTGCACCCAACCAATCTTGCCATTTCACTCGGAATAACTCCTGTTACAATGGCAATGGTGTTGCTGAGAACTGGGACATTACACTGCTTGTTCCTTTCTGGCCAAGACCATGGATTATATGAACACAGCATTCAACTGCAGCCAGTACTTACAAGGATATCAGTGTTTTCAAAATAGTTCCTCCAGTACGGCCTGATCTTCCTCTGTCCGCCTATGTCCCATACGTTCAGCTTGAAGCCTTGAGACTGAACGCTTTTGATGTTAAAGCCCTGGAAAGAGCAGAAACAAAGGCACATAGAGCATAAACCTGAACGGCTGGATCAGATTCACAGGCAGACATTAGCACCTTATATATCCTGTGCCTGCACCATGCTGTGAGATGGGCCAGGCAGCCACAAAGATGGATCGGCTGCGGGAGAGGCACTGGTAAAAATGAACACAGCCACTAAACCATCAGCTTGCCTGTGTTCCTGGGTCAAGGGTTGACGCTGTCATGGCTACGGAAACATATGATGCAGTTAGTACCCTGGAAAGGCTCAGCAGGGTGGGTGCAGGAAGAGGTGGGAGAGCTGCAGATAAGGAGAAAACAAGGGCACTGTGAGAAGCAGGACTGAGCTTGTGAAAGCTGAGTAGAGAGTCCCAGCTAACGCGAAGCCAGAGGTCTCAGCTCAATTCGACACAACGCAACTAATGCCGGGCTTAAAAGAGCAACAGCTGCATGTCTGAAGGGTCCATTTCATCAATTAAAGCACCAACTGAAAGGGCATTCAAGTAGAAAAACAGGATGTGGTGTGGGCTGGCAACGTGCTGCCGCAAGACCCAGGGGACTGGGACTTGGAATTAGGGTGTTGGAGCTGGGAGCTTTGCAAGGCAACTACAGGGTGGGGGGAAGCATCTCCCATAGCTCTCTAGCAACCTCCTCTGGTCAACACAGGAGCAGTGCTGCAGTATTTCTGATGGGTGACTTCTCTCTCCCCAACCTTCATGCTTCACGAAAGGGGGCTGGAGGTACCAGAGGGGGAACGATGGAATATACAGGATGTCTGGAGTTGTCTGGTTGTAAGACAAATGGCCTTCCTCACCTGTGTTGGTGTGATGTGGCTTATGTCCTCAGACGCCAACTGTTTCAGGAGTGTAGTCTTGCCTGCATTATCCAGTCCCAAGAGGAGGATCCTCACCTCCTGGTCTGGGGTGCTTTTCAGTTTACGCAGGATTGACAGTAAACCCTAAATTAGCAAGAGAGACTGTAGTTGTTATTTCCCCTCTGACTTTCCCCGCCAGGCCGTGCTCCCCAGGTTCTGTTCAGTGCTGGATCCCAGGACAGGCTGAATCCCTTCCCTCTTCCCGTTTCCTCTCCTACTCTTCCCCCTCCCCACAATTCTCCTTCATCTCCAAGAGCATCAGTGAGGTCTCAAACAGCACAAATGCCACTCAGTGGGGTGCACCACTGGCTGCATCGCTCATGTCACACAGCTGTTTGGCACTGCCTGTGCCAGGAAGACAGTGCCTAAGGATATTACATATAGGAGCTGCAAACCAAGTCCTTGCGAGCTCTTCATTATCTTTATCAGAGGGAAAACCCCATTAATTTAATCTCCCTTCTGATTAACTGTAGGTTACGGCATACCTGACATCAGTTCTTTTCATAGTAACTCCCTGATCATCTCAAACCCCGTTTATCTGTCTAAAACATGCCGGACCCATGGGGCACGTGCAGTTCTGATTCTCAGGATGTAGCACTTAACAGCTATCTCAGATCACCACACGTCCTCGCTAAGAAAAGCACAGTGGATTTCAGTCATTAGCCAGGCTCAGCTCTCTGAGCTGACAGTATCACTCAGGATTAGGAAACAGAATATGCAGGTCAGCTCATTTACAACTGTGCACGTTACAGCAGCACACCCAAGCTTTTGTCAGAGACCTGCACCTCTCTGAAATGGATGAAAAATGGTCCAGATCCTGATGTGTAACCAAGAGGAGCAAATCACTCTGCTTCCATCTGGACCTCAGCCCCGCAGGAGAAGGGCTGAGATACATGGATGCTCCTGCAACTTGTTTGCCTGGGCAAACCCCAAGGAAAAATGCACCCACAGCTCCTTCTGGAGCCTTCGGGATCCTGCTCAGCCTCCCACAGACAATTTCCATGTCTCGAAGGGCAATCATGAAAATGAAGTTCAGATATCAGCACAAACCCAGGCCATGGGGGCCCGCGTCTCAAGCAGTTTTGTTCGCCCATTTGCAAAACGGAGACGACAATTGTTGTCAACCTGCAAGGGCAAATTAGCTAAATGTCACAAAGTGCTTTGTTGCTAAGAGGAACTACGCCCTCTAAATATTCCTGCTGGGAGCCGAGGACTATCTGAGCCATAAGGGTTGCTCCTTATCCCCTCCTGATCAAGCAATCAGAAACCTGTCCTTAGGATGAAGGGCTGCAGGACTGCTGTCGCAGCGCTGTGCTGCTGCAGCACAAAGGGCAGTTTGGAAAGGACGTGGCACTACCCATCATGATGTCAAAGCTTTCGTTGCACGGTGTGAAAATATACCCACATCCAAACATAGGTTAGATTTGATCCATCCCCTTCAAGCATTTCGGATTTGGAAGTAATTTGTTGGCTACCCATTTAATTAGCAGATGCAGCTCACAAATACACAATTCGAAAGAAGAGGAGGAACTTACTGAAACTGTGTTTGATGGATATTTGTAGGATGCTGCATGGCTGCCATTGTGACTGCGCTTTTGTGGAAAGCTGAGGGTCAGAAATTCAGAGCTCATGCACAGAACCACAGCAGCAGAAGTTGAAATCTTACCCTTGGGCTGTATCACCTGCACCATAAACAGGCTGCTAAACACCTGGGAAGCCGGGCCCAGCTCAAGGTGCTAATCAGGAGCAGGCTCTGCTTGCCGGCGGTCAATGCCCGCACGCACTGCCTGCAGCCTGGGCTGTGACACCCTGTGCTAGGCTGGGTGCCCACAGCTGGCTCTGTGCAGCCACAGCGGGCGGACGGGCCATGCTGTGTGGGTGCAGGAAGCTCCCCCAGCCCGGCAATGCCGGGGCGGAGGGCAGGGAAAATGCCCAGCAATGGGATGGGCTCCAGTGCTTGTATGCACTTGACGTCATTACAACATGCAAGCTGTAATTGCCCGACTTGCACCGCACGTTTTTTCACCTGCAGTCAGATTTATGGCTGTATTTGTTGGCTTTTAAATACGCAGAGCCAAGCTCCCCACGAGAGCAGGAACTCTAAAATTCACACATTTTACCCCCTTCCCAGGAAAGGCTGTGAATTTCCCATTCCTACAGGCTGACCCAAGCCAACACAGACCCATCAAAGAGCTGCTGCTGACTTCAGAGGGCTCTGAACCAGGCCCCATTATTTCAGTTTATTGCTCGTGGTTAAAAAAAGAAGTTGTTGCAATGCTAATCCTATTCTCAGCGCTGCTAAGAGTGGAGCGGTGCAGCCCAGAGCAGATCAGGATTAGGAGATGCTACGTTTCAGAATTCAACTCCGAAACAGCGAGCGCAAAGCAATGTATTACCAAGTGTTGCTTATCTACCAGGGAGCAATTCCCAGGGGTCGGGAAGAGGAACTGTTATAAATGTTAATAGAGCTGCTCCCATTGTAGACAGATGCTATTTCTGGGCCAGTATGACAGCCTACGAGAGAACGATCAGCATCGCTCCATATTCTGCTCGAGTGACACCGCGGCACGGCTGATCGCAGGATTATCTGGGGTAGCCAATGGATGGGAGGATATTTATAGAAATAAAAGTATTCTCTAAGGTATAAAGTAAGCTGATTTAAAAGGCTGGAAGACAAGCAGGCCAACACAGAGAGGTGGACTCTATCTCAGTAGCCGCCAGCGTAGGTTACATGGTTTGTGTACACAGCTTGAATCAAGAGCCAAGTAATAGCCCAGGCCACTGTGATTAGTAGTATTTTGTAAATATTATTAAAAACCGGCACTCAGTATTTTCTCTGTAGTTAGTGAATGCTTAAGGTTAAGTAAAGCTAGGCACAGACTGGTTTCTAATACACTTACTATTTTTTTTTTAATTGGTGTTATGAGCATACTAGTTAGGAAGACAGAAAGCATTTCCTGACAGCTTGGTAGACTGGAAAAAATAACTCAGCTGAGTTCCTTGCAGCATGTAGGCACTACAAGGGACAAGCAACCCTCCCAGCACACATGCTGCTGGATTAGCACCTCCATGCTTGCAGACACAGTGCTGAAACCAACTTGGTCCAATGAGAGACAAGAAACAACTACTTGGTATCCATGGTGGACATCAGGTAGAAAAGCCAGCAAATGGTGGTGCAAAGGGGAGACTCAAATGCCAAGGGAGAGGAGCAGGGCCTTGAGGCAGTGCAGCAAGCAAACGTACCCTGAGCAAGGAGGGAGCACATGTGGGGCGAGGAGCAAGACGGGTCCTGGCAGAGGAGCTGTGGGGATGGCTGCAGGAGTGCAAGGGCAGCACGGCATTTGCACAAACTAAGCAGGCTGCAATATCCGTAACACAGAAGGGAACTGCAGATGCTGTTTGGGTAATGAGCAGCACAGCATGGCAGCGCATGCAGCCTTTGTAGAAGGGCAGCCATAGGGAGCAACTCAAGGCAGGGCACGGCCAGCCAGCGACAGCCGCTTGGTCACCTCAGAGTTAAGCAAACTATGTGTTCTATGTCAGGTCGGCTTGTTTAAAAACATCATTATCCTTGGTGGAGAGGGCTTTCTTTACAAGCACTGTGAGGAGACAGACTGATGGGGTCAGCAACAAGAAGGCGGCATTATCCAGACAGTGAGTGGGGACATACGAAAAGAAAAAATGACTCCTGACAATTACTGTGAAATCAGAGCGGGGCATTAAATTCAGAGATGCAACTAAATGGGTAAGTGCACTCATAAACACGTTGAGCATGAAAGGGAAGCTAACCATCTTATTAGCATCCCTCTGAAAACGGGGATGTGCGGTTTTATGAAAGCCTATCATTGCTAGGTTTAAAATACCCACTGAATTATCGAAGGACGTTCAGTTATAGCTGCATGCAGTAATCCTGTTCTCCTTAAAAAAAGAAAATACAGACATATATAAAAATACGGTGACATTTATAGTCCTAGCTAAGGGTTTTGTGGGTTTATTCAGCTTTAAATCCAGGCTGTAGATGGGCCTTTTGAACTAGTTGATGCATGTAACTACATCCTGTACCACAGAAGCCGCCGAAAGGAAGATTCGCTTTATAGGCCAAAACAAAAATTGGTTTGGGACAAACAGAGCATTGAGATAATCTGTTTAAATATTGTATCAGATTGGCAATATAAGACCATAATGGAAAGAGCAATTTCCCCTCGTACTGAGGGCAGGATACACAGGGCATGGATAAAGCTCGGCCCGCAAGCCACGGCACAGCACAGTTGATTCCTATTAGGCAAGAGAAGCAAATGTATTCTGTTTAACTTTATTAACCACAAAGCTCAGATAATGAATTTTAAACAAAACCACCCTCCGTCACCAGCAATCTCTTATCTCATGCATGTGGACATTCAGCTGAAATGGAATTCACTCACCAAGACGCACCATGGCCACAAGCCCTGTGCCTCTCTGGCCGCTGTGACCGCATCGCCCACCCCTCCCTGCCCCTGCTCCCCTGCTGCCACGGCCGTGGGTTGGACCTTCACCTCCTGGCCCTTTCTAGCCAGCTCATGAGCTGCAGAGGTGGTGGTTCCATTTCCCAGCAGCGCACAGTGCCTCGCTCTGTCCTCCAGCCGCTCCTTTGTGCCTTCCCCACAGCCGTGGGAGAAACTTCACACAACACCCGCAAACCGGCCCGCGATTCTCCTGCTAATTCTGCCTCTGCCACACCTACAGTCCTCCAGGAGGTTTCGGCGGTGAAGGGGCCAAGTTTGAACCTGCCTCAAATTCTCTCCTATCGCTCTGTTATCTCTCACCACGGAGGGGGAACATCTCCTTGTTCTGCGCCTGAGCACAGCCCAGCCCTGCTCACTGCTGACTTTCAGCAAGCAATGCAGCAGCAATTCACCATTTCTAACTAGTCAGATGAAGGCAGCGGGGCAAGTGATGCTCGCAGGCGGTCACACATGAGTCATGCACCTGGGGAAGCACAAGAGGTTTTGCTGAGCCCAATCTCCTGCTTTCAGCAGAGGATGTTTGAGGCTCCATTTGCCGTCCAGCGTGCGGTTCTGCACACACACAGCTGGAGGAGGGGAGCCGGCCTGACAACTGCGCTGATTAGCTGGTGCCCTGAAGAATGACGTTTGATTACCTTTATCTTCGGCTGCAGAACTGCAAATGTCACTAATGGTCATAAAATCACCCAGTCTTTTTCAAAACACAACCGAAGTAAATTAATCTATTGAGCACGGTTTATTCAATACTTCTTACTCTGGCAGAACTCCCAACAAAATCATTTGCTTGCTGCATGTCTCCACCATATGGTGTCATTCAATGCAGACTTTCTTTTCTCTGCTGAAATCCCACATTTAATGGAGCCGAGTCACCTACAGAGCTCTTCCAGCTCGAACCTACTAACACAGTTTTCTGTCAAAGAGGTCACACGGCACTCTGTGTTTTGGTGCATTAACCAACACCAGCATGAATTCTCCTTTCATAATTAAAATCAAACTCCTCTGCTCTTTGCAGACTTCAAGGAAGCACTCTGCCCTGTGCAGGGGATTGCTGATGCCTGCCGCTTTGTCTCCCCTCCAGCGGTGCAGTACTTGGAAACCTCCTCCAGTTGTTGATATACTGCACTCCCTGCACATCGTTTCCCATAAAACCATCGCACAAACAGTAAATAAATGAAAAATGTGTGATGTGCAACTCTGCTTGGAAACTAGAGCAGCGGAGCACTGCTAAAGCTTTGGAAAATGTTTTGTTTTAATGGAGTCAGTTTGGTACAGCCTCCATGTCAGACAAGAGGCAAAGGGAAAATTCTGAGGACTAGATACGCCTACAGCAGGCAACGATACTTGCTGCTTTTATTAAAAATGGGAGCTTAAGGCCAGGAGGAAGACGTTTGACTACACGTTCTGCTATGTCGGTACTGCATTCTCTGCACAACATCTGCCTGGTGTCATCCAAGCGCTCCATGACTCAGTTTCCTCAGCTGTACAATGGGGTCACACTTTGACAGACCTGGTTTTGATGCAGTGATGTCATCTTCAGTCAACAGCTTTAGAAAAACTTAGGTCATCCCCCAGCCCTGTTATCCATCAGTTGCATACCATCTCACTTGGTGAAGACAAGCCGCAAGCTCTGCTTCGCACAGTACTTCCAGAGCTTTTGAAGGCTGCTTACCCTTTCATGTAACATCTCCCTTCACCCTTGCTGTGAGCCCAGCACACGTGCTGCTCAACCGCGCCAAAGCCTTCAGCACCACGCATCTCTCGTGCTATGCATTTTTATGGCTCAAGTTTCCCTCCGTGCTCCACCTATGACCTTCCAGCATCCCTGCCTCACAGCTGTGAGAAATGCTGGTATGCTCTGCAGAACAAGACACTTCCCCTCTGCACTTACTCAGTTGGATGAGCACTGAAATAATTTAAACATCAGCATTAACCCCATTATCACTGGAGCAGGAGCAAGCAGAACTGAAGAGGGTTTCAGTGCTTACCAGTGCAATCGTGATGGGTCAGAAACATGCTCATGGGCAGCTCAGATGGCAAGCAGTGCGTTGTTATGTCAGGCTGTCTGGATCAGTTCTGACTGCTGCTCCATACCCCCCGGGCAGCAGAGCTGTCCTGGATGTATGTGCTGATGTTCCAGAGTTTCTGCCACTGAGGGTTATTCAGTTTTAGGGAAAGTTGAGACTCCAGAGAGCTGGTAACAGAGCTCCCCAGCTTGCCACCCAGCCCAGCCAGTCCATGGTCTGAGAGGCTGCTGCTCCAAAACAACTCCCAGAAATGGAAAATAGACTAGGAAGCATTAAAATGCTGCACCAAATAACACAAGCACTGGAAAACACCCAGTCCACCCTCCCCATGCACAAAAACACTCACTTAACAACAGCCAGATCCCAGACTACACCAGTTTATCAGGAATCACAAAGCAGAAGAGCAGATTTGGCTGATAGCAGCTGCAGGCCAAATGCGTCCCACAAAGCACGGTGCTGCTGGAGGCAGCTGCCTTCATCTCCACAGCAGATGTCCATCCTGTGATGGCTTTGGTGCCTGGTGTGACAAGCTCCATCATCACCTGATCTAAAATAGAGCAGGTCTCATAGACTTTATCTCAATCTCTTTCTCTGTGGTACAGCAGGTGGGGATGCAGCCAGAATTAACTCAGCAAAGATGAGGAGCTGCCTTTGCTGTTCTCACTTATGCCTCCTCCTGTGCATTAATCCAGCTTGAATCCAGAGGGCTTCTGGACAAAACACAGCTTTGCCCTACAGAAGCTCTTTCTCTCAGTCTGGGCTCTCTGCACACGCTGCACCCCAGTAGCAGCTCCCCAACCACCACAGCTGTTTCCCACCCCTCTGTTGATGCCCACTCATTCTTTCCTGACAGTCCTTGATGGACTCCACCAGCACCATCCCGTTCCACCCCAAATACTGCAGCATCCAGCACCCAAGTCTATAATTCAGCCTCGCCCTAACATGATGCAGGCAACATTTCACCATCACCACACATTTGTCTCCCAGTAATGCCCTCTGTCCTTACCAAAACCTTTGCAGTGAGGCTCCAATTCCTCTCCTCAATGAACCCTGCTCCCCATCAAATAATTTGTTTCTACACTTGAGCATTCCTCTCCTCCCTAGATCATCTCTTTCTCTCACTAGCACCAAAACTCCTCCATTCCTTCCCATGGTGAGTCTTCTCTCTTCAGCCCACGCTATCCCCATTTCCCCAGCCCATGGCAGAAAACCCAAGAGCACCCAAATCCCAGCAGCCTATCCTAGCCAGCCAACAGTGACTGGCACAGCACAGTGATTCCCCAAACTGTTCATCCCACCCAGGTCTCTCCCAGTCCCCAGGTAATGTCTCAGCTCTATCCATGCCCAAACCCCCAGCTCCTACACCCAGGCTTCTCTGCCAAGACTGAGCTCCCCTTTTATCAAGGCCATTTATCAACAGCCCTTCCAACTCTGCAAGCTCTCCCGGAGCTCCCCCGACTTTTGCAGCTGACTTTCGCACAGAATGGATGGGTTGGAATGGATCTCAAAGCTCCCCAAGGCCCCATCCAAGCTGGCCTCCAGGGATGGGGAACGCACATCTTCTCAGGGAAGGTATCCCCACAGCCTTCTCTTCTCCAGGCTGAACACACCCAGCCCCTCAGCCCGTCTCCATAAGACGAGTGCTCCGGCCCTCTGAGCATCCTTGTGGTCCGCTCTGGACCCGCTCCAACAGCTCCATGTCTTGTGCTGGGGTCACCACCACTATCACCACCACCTCTTCCCCCTGGCTGCCCCGTCCATGGTCTTTCCACGCAGATGCCCCCAGGCTCTCCCCAGCACTCCGTGTTTGAACGCTGCCCCCATCATTGCCAGGTCCTTTCTGTCAATCCTCCCTTCTGCCTCTCCTCGGGCCAAGCGGGCCTCTGCGGCTCTGCTTCCCACCCGCATCGAGGATCCACCAATCCCCATGCAAACACAGCCCCCAGGACCCGATCCTCGGGCCGGACACCCCAAATTAACACCACCCCAAGGCCGAGCGATCTCCTCCGACATGGCCCACGCGGCCCCCCCCCCGGGCCTCCCGATGGGCACCCCGGCACCCCCGACGCCCCGATCTCCCGCCGGACCCCCGCAGGGCCCCGATCTCCCGCCGGGCCCGGCCCGCCGCCCCCGCCCCGCTCACCATCCTCTGCGCGGCAGCGGGGTTACCATGGGCAACTGCGTCACACACACGCCGCCGCTACGTCCCGCGTCACCGCTTCCCGCCGGACGTACGGAACGCGCTCACGGCCCGCGGGAGGGGGCGGAGCCCATTCCAGCTCCGCTCCCATCCACAGAGCGCTCGCTCCCCTCCCGCCGCCGGGAGGTGGGCGCGGCTTCTCAGCTCGCTCTGATTGGCTGAAGGCGGCCACGCGGCGCGCCGAGGGTCTGTGGGCCGCGCAGGTAGGGCCACGTGGGGTTGGGGCGCGCGGGTTGAGTGGGGCTGCGAGGGCGGTGTGATGCGTTGCTGCGCGATGCAATGCGGAGAAGTGCTTTGCACAGCAGTACTATGCACAGCAATGCTGTGCACAGTAGTGCTATGCACGTCACGAGGTCTCTGTGCGGCTCTACGGATGTGCAGTCAGCGGTGCGCTGCGAGGCGGTGTCAAGGGGGGGGGAGTGTGACGTAGCACCGTTGGAAGCATGCAGTGCTGATGGGGTGCAGGGTAGAGTAACGTGGAGCATGCCGTGGGGGTGTGTGCAGTGGTCAGGGTGCAGTGCAGTGTAGTGCAGTGCAGTGCCGTGGGGGGGTGCACTATGTTGTTGAGCTGCCTGTACGGCTGTGCAGTGCGGGCACCGGAGGGTGCAATGCCACGAGAGGTGCAGGAGGTGCTCTGGGGCTTGCAGTGTGGGCATGGGAGGGTGCAATGTACTACCAGCGACATGCAGTGCTGCAGGGACAGGAGCATAGTGCAGTACCGCGGGGATGAGTGTGCACGTGGAGGGTATGCCGTGCAGTGACCCAGATGGAAACACTTGCAGGGCAGTGTGATGCAGTCCCACTGAGGGCTGCCTCGTGCAGGGAGAATGCAGTGCATTGCAGCAGCACTGTTGGAGGCTGGTGGTGGCAGTGCCTTGGGTACGGGGCCGCTGAAAGTCCAACCCAGATGTTAAATATAAACCCGCAGCAGTTCACCCAGTGCAACGCTCCACGGCAACGCAGCACTATCCTGAAATGGCTGCTGTGCCCCTCGGCTTCGACATTGACGCCCCGCGCTGGGACCAGAGCACCTTCGTGGGGCGGCTGTGGCACTTCTTCAACATCACTGACCCGCGCACCGTGCTGGTGCCGGAGCGGGAGCTGGACAGGGCACAGGCCGTGGTGGCAGGCTGCAGGTGAGTGTGTGCTGGTGGCACCGGCGCGGTGCTGGAGGTGTGCCTGTGTCCTGCCCGAGTGCTGGTGCAGCATCTGAGCACCCTGATCGATCTGTAGATGTCTCTGTTCATTGCAGGGGAGTTGGACTAGATGACCTTTAAGGGTCATTTCTATGAGACATATAAGACAATTCTATGGTCTGTCAGAGATGGTTTTGTGGATGTTTATTGGGTTTCTGGGAGCCCTGAGCTATCATGGCTGAACTCCCGCGGCTCCGGGCTTGCAGGGCTGGGATGGTACCGCCGGGGAGCAGCCAGGAACAGCTGCTGTATGCCAAGAAGCTGTACGACTCGGCTTTCCACCCCGACAGCGGTGAGAAGATGAACCTCATTGGCAGGATGTCCTTCCAGGTGCCAGGTGGCATGGCCATCACTGGCTGCATGTTGCAGTTCTACCGGTGAGAGCTGGGGACACAAGTTGGGACACAGCCCGGACAGCCCTCAGCTCTTCCAGGGGCACTAATGTCTATCCTTGGTATCCCTGAGACAGTGCTAGGAGCCCAGGAGTGGGTCACCCTCAGATACCTCTGTCCTCATGTGCTTGCTGCTCCCATCACTGAGGGCCTACCTCAGCCCTGGATCTCATCCCCATCCCAAACCCCTCAGGGCTGTGCCACCTCCTGTGCTGTCTGCAGTACCCTCTCAGACACATTTCATTTCCCAGCCCTGCCCCTGCCACATTCCTGACCTCAGGCTGCAGTGCCTCAGTTTCCCCCGGCAGACACCAGGACAAGGGTATGGAGGGCATCTTGTCTGTCCCCTGATGGCCCCCGGGCACTCTCCGTGCCCTTTCCCTCTGCAGGACAGTGCCAGCTGTGGTGTTCTGGCAGTGGGTGAACCAGTCCTTCAATGCCATTGTCAACTACACCAACCGCAATGCTGCGTCCCCCATCTCTCTGGCGTGAGTGTGCCCCCGGGATGGGACCCCTGATGCCTGTGGGATGTGCCAAAAAAGATGTTCAGGCACCAAAAGAGCAGGATCTCTGTGTCAAAGACAGCGTTTTGTTTTATATTCCCATGCATCTGTTGCAAATCACCAGGCAAATAGGAGTGGCTTACGTCACGGCCACCACGGCAGCCCTGGCCACTGCTGTGGGACTCAACCTCTACACCAAGGTATGTAGAGACGGGGTTGCAGCAGCATCTGGCCACATCCTATCCCCATGCTCATCCCATCCTCCATCTTGCAGCGTGCTCCTCCCTTGCTTGCCCGTTGGGTCCCTTTTGCAGCTGTAGCTGCTGCCAACTGCGTGAACATCCCAATGATGAGGCAGCAGTGAGTGCACCTGGGGTCTGCCTCCGCTCCCCGGCCCCGAGGGAGGACGGAGGAGGTGGGATGGGTTCTGTGTGATCACCACCCTGCATCTGGGAGAGCGTCTCTGGTGGGATGGCCCAGCATCAACAAAGCAGGAGGGCGGTTTTGGGGTGAAGATGTCCATTTTGGAGTTTTTGATGTCCTGGTGCTGAGGGAGGTTGTTGGAGCTGAAGGAGTTTTGAAGTGTTCCACGGGGTGGGGGTCCCTGTGTCAGCCATACCCTGAAGGTGGCAGCATCAGCCCAGGGGTGGCACAGCCCAGGGCCACTGTGTTGCTGTTCCCACAGGGAGATCATCCATGGGATATCAGTGACTGATGAGGACAACAATGAGCTTGGGCACTCCAGGGTGAGTGTTCTGGGAGGGAGAGCAGACATGGGAATAGGGACATGTGTACAGCAGCAAGGCTGAGCAGCCATTTTTCCTTGCAGAGAGCAGCAGTGAAAGGCATTGCGCAGGTTGTGGTCTCCAGGATCACTATGGCAGCTCCAGGCATGAGTGAGTGCGGCATGAGGGTGGGGGCCAGATCCACACTGCAACCCTGCAGCTCCCAGCTTGGCCAGAGCTGATGGAGCTGCATGGGCTGGTGGAATCCTTCACTCTTCTCCCCACATGCAGTCATTCTGCCCATCATCATGGAGCGGCTGGAGATGTTCCCCTTCATGCAGGTGAGCTCCTGCTGCTGCTCTGGGCATGGGATTGTGGCAGTCAGCTGGGGACTGACCCTGCTCATCCCTTGCAGCGGATCCGGGTTCTCCACGGGCCACTGCAGGTGCTGCTGTGTGGTGGGTTGTGAGTATCTCAAAAAACCAGTGTGGCTCCGGAGGATGCCTGAAGTCACCCTGGAAAAAGACCCCACCCAGCAGAGATGGCAAAACTGCTTTCCTTCCAACCTGAGCTCTGTTAAATTGGGTCCTGGGCTGGGACCTTGCAGCTCGGGGTATGCAGCCCCAGCGCTAACACCCACTCTCCTTTGCTCACAGCCTGCTGTTCATGGTGCCGGCAGCCTGTGCCCTGTTCCCTCAGAGATGGTACCTGTCCATGGCTTTCCATGGGAGCCTTTCTCTTTCCCTCACTCCCCACAGCCCGTCCTGATGGGCTCCCAAGAGGAACAGGATGATGGCTTCAGTGTCTGTCCCCTCTCCCCACAGCTCTCTTGCGCTGGCTGACCTTGAGCCGGAGCTGCGGGACAGCATCGTGACCAAGCACGGGGACAAAGTGCCATTTGTCTACTTTAACAAAGGGCTGTGAATAGAGGCTACCTTGGGAGCCATTGAAGCCCTCCAGCCCCCAACACTGCCAGCCCTGTGCCAGTGCAGGGCTTGGATGCATGGTGCAGCCCCCACTAACCCAGTCTGGAAGTGGAGCTGGGATCATCTCCCATTTCCCCCACCCCAAACCACATTGCTGCCTTTAACTGCTGCAGGAGCCTCTTTGCAAGAGCTGGAGCCCCCACAGTGAGTGGGAAAGACTTGTCCCCTGTGTAGGGGAACACATCAAAGTCCTGGGACCAGTGCTAGGACTGTGCCTTCCTTGCTCTCTGGTTCAGATCTTATTCACTTTGCGATTGTCACAATCCCAAAGACAAATAGCTAATTGTTTTTAAGCTCTGAATTTTGCAATCAGCTCATTGCATTAAGTATGACAGCCAGGCATCACCTTGCCATTTTGTGCCTCACTGTTCCTGTGGTAGGACCAAGGACTTGGGAAACACTTGATTCTGGCCCCTCTCACACGGAGAGGGTCACTAAGCCATTGGGTTTTGAACTAAGGCTTTAAATGACAGAGATGGGGGTTGGCAAATAAAACATGGTGATTTTTAAAACAGCTGTGGGCTTTGCTTTTGGCTGGTCTTTGGGTGCCTGCTTCCCTGGACAGGGCTGGTACATAGGTCATACCTGTCTTGGAAAAAGGGAAGGTGTGGGCTCTGTGCTTGCATCTGAAACAAACCATGTCTCTCTGGTTGAGTGCCATAGGAAGACATCACTGCTCTCTGAACTCCTACACTGAGATTGCTCCTGTCCTACACCCCAAATTTCTGTGAGCACATTCAGGAAGGTACATTCAGCAACCTGGAATGGAGCTGGGTCCAAGGTGTGTTCAGTGTGCTTGCAAATGCAGAGACAGTTATAATGCAAAGTCCCACAGAAAGCATGCTTTGGAGAGCTGTTGCTACCTCCTGCCCTCTCCTCTTAGTCCTGGGCAGCAGGATGGGGTGCACACAATGCACTGGGCAAGAAGAGGGTTGGTCTGTGCTGGGGCGAGTATGAGGCTGACCAGCACTGTCCTCAAGCCAGAAACCAAGCTGATAGCAATGGATTCCCTCTTCAGACCTGCACAGGTTGATGCTGGCCAAGAGCAGCACAGCAGGGTGTCTAGGTTTTTAAGCTACAGCAGGAGCCTCCACGGGAGGATTCCTGCCATCTCTGCCACTCACAGCTCCAGAACAATGTGGAGGGCGGCAGGTGGTTGCAGACTGTGTTCCTGTGCTGCCAGATTCCATCCAGATCGGCTCTGCATCACACTGCTGCAATAGGAAGGAAACTTCACT